CATCTTGCATTGGCAAAATCCGCTTTAGTACTTTGCCACCTTCTTCGAATGCACGCCGATGGACTTTTTTGTTGTAAGCCCAGGCCACACGTTTCTGATAGCATTGACCATGACAGATAGCATTTGAGCCGCTTTTCATCGATCAAAGTCAATTGCTCATGGCGCTGTTTCATCCAATCAGCCTCCTCCAATTTAGCTTCCATGAGGATTCGTAGCGAAGGAATTTCAACTTCAGCTGGTAATACAGCTTCCATTCCATACATGAGTGAATATGGCGTTGCCCCAGTCGATGTCCGGATAGAAGTCCGGTACGCCATTAATGCATAAGGCAACTTTTCATGCCAATCGTTATGCCTTTCAGTCATTTTGCGGATAATCTTTTTCAAATTCTTGTTTGCGGCTTCTACAGCTCCATTCATCTGAGGCCTATAAATGGCAGAGTTGCGATGTCTGATCTTGAACTGCTCGCATAGTCCATCTACCAGGTCATTGTTCAGATTCTTGGCATTGTCTGTAATAAGCGTTTCGGGTACTCCAAAGCGACAGATGATGTGATCTCTCAAGAAATTGGCAACTACCTTCTTCGTTACATGTTTGAATGACTCTGCTTCAACCCATTTAGTAAAGTACTCAATTGCCACTAATATAAATCGATGTCCATTTGAAGCGGGAGGATCAATTGTACCAATCACGTCCATACCCCACATTGAACAGGGCCATGGGGCGATCATACTATGCAATTCAGTGGGTGGAGCACGTATAACGTCACCGTGCATTTGACATTTTATACATCTCCGGACAAAATCTATACAATCACGCTCCATAGTAAGCCAGAAGTATCCGGTTCTCATGATTTTCTTTGCTAGCAAATGGCCATTCATGTGAGGTCCACAAACGCCACTATGTACTTCTTTCATCATGTATTGAGCTTCGTTTTCATCAATGCACTTTAAAAGGTTCAAATCTGAGGTTCTTTTGTACAAAACTTCTCCACTTAAGAAAAATTTTGAAGCCATTCTACGCAGAAAACTCCTGTCCATTGTACTAGCATGTAGAGGGTAAGACCCAGTTTTGAGAAACTCCTTAATATCATTATACCAAGAAATATTGTCAGAGGACTTGTCTACAACCCAACAGTGGGCAGGCTTGTCTTGAAGTTGAATCTGGATTGGTTCGATCCTCAATTTATCTGGATACTGTATCATAGAAGCTAAGGTGGCCAAAGCATCAGCAAATGCGTTTCGGGCTCGCGGGAGATGTCTGAACTCCAAATTTTGAAATTGCTTGGCCAGAGTGAGCAGACTACAATGGTAGGGCAGAATTTTTGAATCTTTGGTTATCCACTGCTTCAAGGTTTGGTGCACGAGCAAATCTGAATCACTGAAAGCTATCAACTCTTTGATTTCCATTTCTAAAGCCATTTTGAGACAAAAAATGCAGGCTTCATATTCGGCCATGTTGTTTGTGCAAGCAAATTGCAATTTGGTAGCGGCAGAGTAGTGCTTCCCTTCGGGTGAAACCAAAACAACTCCAATTCCAGCTCCGAGAGAATTCGAAGCTCCATCGAAGAAAACCTCCATTCAGGGCTTTGCTCACTTATATCGTCTGTGGCGCCTACAAATAAGACTCTCTCATCAGGGAAATAAGTATGAAGTGGTTGATAATCATTATCCCTTGGATTTTCTGCCAAATGATCCACTATAGCTTGCCCCTTAACAGGCTTTTGTGAAGTGAAAATAATATCGAACTCTGAGAGAATTATCTGCCATTTAGCTAGATGTCCAGTTAGCATCAGCTTCTCCAAGAGATACTTCGAAGGATCAGATTGGGAAATAAGATAAGTGGTGTGGCTCAACAGGTAGTGTCTTAACTTTTGAACTGCCCAGGCCAATGCACAGCAGCTTTTCTCAATGAATGAATAATTAGCCTCATATTGCGTGAACTTCTTGCTTAGATAGTAAATGGCTTGCTCCTTCCTTTCGGAGTCATCATGCTGCCCGAGGACACAACCAACTGCTTCTTCAAGCACAGATAGGTACATGATTAATGGTCGACCCGACTTGGGTGGCACCAAGACTGGCGGATGTAACAAATAATCCTTGATCTTATCAAAAGCTTGTTGGCATTCTTCATTCCAATACAATGGCACATTCTTTCTCAACAATTTGAACAACGGATCGCATGTGGCAGTTAGTTGGGCAATGAATCTCCCAATAAAATTGATTTTTCCTAAGAAATTTTTCACGTCCTTCTGAGTTTTCGGCACTGGCATATCTCGAATTGCTTTGATTTTCGCTGGATCTATCTCTATGCCTCTTTTACTAACAATGAAGCCCAACAATTTACCAGCTGGTGCCCCAAAGGCACACTTTGCAGGATTTAGTTTCAAATTGTATTTTCGCAACCTTTCGAACAGCTTTTTCAAATTAACCAAATGGTTCTCTACCCTTTTAGACTTGA